GTTTATTGCACTTTTTTGCAATTTATGTAATTACTATGCACTTAATGCAGACATATTATTAAAATCTGGGCTATAATGGTTGTATTGATGTATAGAAACTTGAAATGCTCCCAAAAATGGCTCCACAGCATGTAAACATATAATATAAGCTCTGGTGGACTTGGTTCTATGGTCGGTCTTAAAGGGTTAATAAAGCATCCGTGTGTTTCTCAGGGTGTGGATTTATAATAAACCCGACACTGCGTTTAAACTGTGTTGTCTCGTGTCATAAATGATACATCAGGAGCTCCTGGCGATGTGCTCGCTTCCCTTTCCCCCCTCGGTGGGAGGAAGCGTGTAGCGGCTAACGCTCGCCTGCTTCGTTTTGTCACGTTCAGATTTGTTCAGCAGGAAGCGCGGGAGAAATCTGTCGTTCCAAAGATTTCATTTGCTTCGACAGTTGAAACGACGAAAGTTACAGCTTCTGTTTAACTTTTGTGTCACCGTAGAAACGAACCAACAAAATCAGGTCGGGGTCACGCCCTTCGGGGGAGGTGTGGCCTCTGAGGGCGCTAATATAATAAATAAAACTACACGTACATCTGCATTTACTCTGACGTACTCTTCATAACAGTCAGCTTATAATCCAGGTGTTTGCAGATGTGAAAGTTTAACCTTTGGGTCGTCTGATCACCGCGTGAAACCAAAACTGGGATGAAGTCGCTCATCATCATCGTGTATATTTAACACGCATCTTTATCTCCGGTCCACATCGACTGTGACAATAACGATTCTGTCATCACCTGCGTTATCATTTATTTGGTCGCGGTGACGTTGTAGGACTTCCTGCGTGCTGCAGGTTTGGCGTGCTTACCCGGGCAGAGCGCTCCATGGTGTAGGCCAGACCCGAGTGAACGATGTCCTTCTCAGACGCTCCCTGAAACCACAGAGCGGAGCTTACACACCTGAGGAAGAGGAGGAGACAGTACTCGAGTACTACGAGTATGTGTGTACTCACGGCGATCCGAGCCTGGAACTCAGAGGTGGGGACGACGGGGACGGCGCCGCCGTGTTTGCCGAACTTCCTCTCCAGACTCTCCTGGACCGACACTGCAGGGAGACGAGAGCGTTACTGACAACGATCGGCGCGTTGGTGCGAGGCTTCCTGAC